TATATTTTCTGGGCTTCTGTCTTCCCCCCCACTTCCCGTGTCTTCCTACATTTTCGGGGGAACCGACGATTAGTTGTGTCTGTGTTTTTGTCCCCTCCTGAGGATCCCTATCCCTAAGATGGGCGAGCAAAAAGCGAGGACAATCTTAGGGATAGGCCCTCAGAAACTGAGGGAGTCCTCAAGATCGGCATCGAGGTGAGGTGATGTCAAACATGGGGATAGGGATATGTTTCAAACTGGTAAGGACCGGCGGGGTGGCCTCGAGATCCTGGGAGGGTTCACGGCACGCTCCGTCACTGCACGGTTTCGGGACCCGAGTCGCCCGATACATCCTCGGAGAGCAGCCTGGGTCCCGAGGCTGTGCTCTCACTCCGAGTCCCCACTGGCTCGCCCGGCGGTGTTGTCACTGCACCCCTTTGGGACTTCCAACCCCTGCTCTGCCCCTCAAAGGCGCCGCAAGATGGCGTGGAGACGGCCCCCAGAGGCCCCAAGACAGCTCCACGATCGCCGAAGACAGCCACAGGGTAGCCTCCTGAGGCCCCACGACGCCACCGATACGACCCAAACGGGCCAACGAGATCCCAAGTCGCCCCCAAGATACCCCAGGGAGCCCTCTGAGCCAAGGAACCACACAGCACTATCCAGCCAGCGGGCTGCCCTGACGCCCCCTGTTGGGCACCACGCACGGCGGTACGATCTCCGCTTCTTGGGGGAAAGACGGCCATCGTCAAGCTGCCAGGTGGGGCACCAGCCCGGAACCCTCAACGCGAACCACTGGCCGTCGAAACAACATACTACGTAGGAAAACAAAACCTATCGAAGATCTTCCCCAGCCGACATGCGATCAGCGCTGGCCAGAACTGGCCAATTCTCCCAGCCAACCCCTCTGGTGAACCGTGGTTAAAGTCATTATTCTCTTGCACAGCTGTGTTCTAGAGCTCGGACCTCTTTATTTTCGTTCGTCGTCGTTCGTTTGCTCGTCGGTCGTCTCCCCCCGTGGCCACAGAAGGAAACTCCTGGAGGAAGGAGGCGAAAGCCTCCTGTCCCTCGCAGCTCCTTGGTGCAAGAGAAAGGGCACGCGTGCCACTTGCTTCCACAGGGTGTGGTGAGGGCTCCTCAGGCTGCAAGCCCGCTGGATGTGACATGCTCTGACTGGCTACCGGCCCGAGGAGGTTCTGCCTGGCTGCTCCTGGGATCCCCGTGGCCCCAGGGGGCGGCCGAACGGCCCTGCTCCTGGATGCTGCCCTTGTCGAACGCATCCCACTCCTCAGGGGCGTCAGTTAAAACTGCGAGGATGCTTGATGAGATTCGGCCCCCTCCCCCTCCTCTCCCCCTCCCCTCCCCTCTCCCTCCTCTCGCCCTCCTACTCCCCCACGCCGAGGGACGAATCTCGCTGCTCGTGCGGTTTGGTTGCCCAGAGCTCCTCCCGGGAAACCGCGTCCGCGGACTTCACCGGAACCGCCACCACCAAAAACCTATGTGTCTGTATCTGGGCCGAGGAGCCGAAAGCGGCGCAAGCCCACCCGAGGGGGGCAGCCAGCTACACGCCGACCAGCCACCCGGCCACGGCTGGCCCCCGGCCCTGAACCTGGAGCACACGCTGCCCGGCCACTGCCTCGGTCTCCGAGGCGCCCCTGGCCGTCCAGCTCTGGCGCCACAGCGGCCTGGGTGCCCTCGACACAAACACGCACACACACACACACACACACACACACACACACACACACGCACGCACACGCAAGCACGCACACGCACGCACGCGCACGCACGCACGCACGATCACACACACGCACGCACGCACGCACGCACGATCACACACACACACACACACACACGCCAAGCAGCACCTCCAGGTGCGCCCTTCTTCCCAGACCCTGGACGTCGAGAACAAACAAATGCCGGCCAGCGGCTCTGAAGGGGGGGCTCCTGGGGCACTCTGCGGGGCCTCGGTGCTCTGAAACGTGACCCCCCGGCACGAAAGGATGGGGGGTCGAGGGCTCCAGAGCCGCGCGCTCTGAGAGCTCCGAGGTGGCGGACGTCTGCGGGGCCGGGGGGCGCGGAGCGCCCCCCGAGAGCCGAGGCGAGGCGGGGGAGCCTGGGGCCACCGCTCGGCCACTTCGAGGCGGCCTGGGCCACCAACGGCGATACCAGCATGGCATCACCCACATCCTCTCTGCTAACTCCCCCATCCACGTCTCCTCCCCCTCCCCCCTGTCCTTCCCCCATCCCATCCCCCTTCCACAATTAGTAGACAATTGCACAACATGATTTGTAAGATCCTCTCGTTCCCCTGACACTGCGCACAAAATATACGGCCCCCTCCGCGTACTGTCTCTCACACATAGGGTTGGGATGCTACGTTTTGCAGTCCAATAGCTCGATTTCAAAGCGGTACTCCCGCTACGGCGTGAGCCCCATTTTCGAATCAGCGCTGTGGTCCTGTCCTTCAGCATGGCGCTCTCGCCCCAGCGCGGGTCACTTTTCTGGATCCGAGTCCTTCTTCATCGTTGTCACCTCCCTTATTTCCTCTCATTCGCCTTCTCCTGGTCCTCCTGCCGCCCCCCCTCCTTTCACTCCAATTCCTGCTGTTGCGGTTTGTCCTGGTCATCATCCTTCCTCATCCTCCCCTTTTTCCTCCTGCTCGCCCTCCCCCTCACCCGTCACCTCCTCCTCCTCCTCCTCCTCCTCCTCATCATCATCATCATCCTCCTCTTTCTATGCACGCAGCTCCTAATTTCCGATTACGCATCACATGATGGGGTCTTTATTGCAGTTCCAGGTCGGCGATGACACGCGTCTCCGGATATCTAAAAAAAGCGCAATCTGAGAGGGTAGGAGGCACAGGTAGGGTGTCAGATCTGGGGTAAGCGAACCCAGCTTCATGTGAATACTACTCCCCTCTCCCCCCGAATACATGTTGAAAGTATACATCCCTTTCCGCGCATTAATTTTTACCACGCAGGAAATCGAATGTTCCCCAAACAATGTTAGCACTCAGGTATTCTTACTTGTACTATGAGGAGCTGGGCGTCTGTTAGTCTGGCCAGCATGTAGCCGCCAGTCGCCGCCTCGTCGCCACATCGTCGCCGTCTGTCGCCTGGCCCTCGTTGTCAGTCTGGCCGCCCCGTCGCCGCCAGTCGCCGCCTCGTCGCCGCATCGTCGCCGCCCGTCGCCACCGCCCCGTTGCACCCCCCCGCGTTACATTGCAATCGCATGGCATCGCAATCGGATCGCATTGCATCGCATTGCTTTGCATTGATTCGCATTGCTTCGCATTGCTCTGCATTGCACCATATAGATTGCACCACACGTGTTGCACCACGTAGCTTACATCCCATTGATGGCACCACATCAAATTGACCACAAATATTTGAACCAAATACATTGCACCACATAAGCTGCATTGCCTTCAAAAATCAGGGTCTACCACCCTCCGCCAGCCCCAGACACGTCCAGACACCCTGGAAATGTGCAGTTTATATGCGATGTTGCCCCAATCGTTCGCCCGACATATAGCAGCATAGCATCTCGAGCAAGCCCAGCTCGATCCCCCCAGTTCCCCACACAATATGTTGAAAAAACACCACACGTGCGCATTCCTTACCACATTTCATAGGAATTCCAAATCCCGTGCCAAAAAAATGGCGAATTGCACACCCGCGCGTCGTCGCTCGCGCATGCCAGAATGTCTTTCTGGTTTCAATAAACCCATTGGTGACGCAACGAATACAAACACGGGTGCCCCGCCTACATATAGACAACATACCTGATCTTGCAAGTTGTTTTATAGCTTAACCATGTGTACGTGTGTACATATACATATATTCATACGTAATGCATGTATATAGAAACATACATATAATTGCACGCACACACATACGAATATCCATACATACAAATAAGCAACCCTACATGTATATACATGTATACGTACATACATGCACATATTCGTGCATACGTACATACACATATGGAACACATGTGTGTATATATATATACATATCGCGCGCATGTCGAAGTGATTCGAACGTCTTTGCGCAAGGGCGGGGGGCACGATCCCTGCCAAAAGAATACTACGTTGGCCATTCGCGCCCGCCGGCCGCGCGCGCATTTGAAAATCTTTCCAAAACTTTCACCGTCGAAGCGTTGACACCATCGTCATCATCGGCGTGGTCAACATCGGCGCCGCCGGTGGCCTTGCCGTCGTCATCATCATCATGCATGCCGTCGACGTCGCCATGATACCACGCCCGCCCGAATTACCGACTCACACTGGAGTGCCCGCGCGGCAACGCGGCCTGCGAGACGCGCTGGAGAGTGCCAAGCAGTCAGCGCCACCGCGGCGGCTTCGGTCGCGCCGGACTCGCTGGTCGCACTTCGCGCGAGCATGCGCGGACTGGCGCGGCCGAAAAGATGCGACAGTCAACGCCAAGCAGCCGTTTGCAATCGCCGCCGCATGATTTCTGCAAACAAAGTCACGGGTGGGCGGGTGAGATGATTGCGGGAGCAGTGAATTGACAACGTGCACTCCGGCAAGGAAACATTGCACTACATGTATTGCACCACAAAGATTGCATCACAGCTATCACCCTCTTCCAAAAAAGGGATCTATTACCACCCAGAAGCCGGAGTAATCGATCCCCCCTGGTATGTGCAATTTACCTGCGGGTATGCCCCATCGTTTACTCCAAATCTGGATTCATACCACCCGAGACAAGGTCAACCCCCCTCTACCACCCTCATCCTCTTAAAATAACACTACGCGCACACTCGTCTATCAAAAACCGTCCATGCGCAAGAACAACACGCAATACAAAGTGACGAAGTGCACACGCGCGCGTCGTCGCGCGCACGCACTCTTGCATAGTCTAACGAAACCATCAGCTGCTCATAAAAATTACCAAGACCGACAACACGGGCATGTCGAAATGCTCGAACGCCTTTGCACGCGCACTGGGAGGGCACAATCCCTGTCAACTAAGTCCACGCGGGCCACTCGCGCCCGCCGGCCGCGCGCAGACGCCGAAATCGCTCCCAAACCTTTATCACCAACACGTGAACACCATCCTCATTATCCAAACAATCAGCATCGGAGCTGTCATTGGGCTTGCCGTCATCATTGTCATCATCGTCAGAAGCACTGCTACTGTCATTATCATCGCGTCTGCCGTCGTACACGCCGCCATGATATCGCGCCCGCCCGCGTCACCGACTCGCACTGATGTGCCCGCGCGGCAACGCGGCCCTCGAGACGCCCTGGGAAGTACCCAGCAATCAGCGCCGCCGCGGCGGCGTCGGTCGCGCCACACTAGCTGGCCACCATGCGCCCGAGACTGCGCGGGCCGGCGTGGCCGCAACGACTTGCCAGCCAGCGCCAAACACTCATGGCAATCGCCGCCGCATGGGCTCTACAAACCAAACTGCGCGAGAAATTCAGTTGACAACTTCTTCTTCGGCAACTTGCACCACGCTGTCTGCACCATATATGTTGCACCACATGCTTACATCACGTGTACCGCATCCGTTTACAGATCGTAGACCCCACCACTTAGATTGCACCACACATGCGTATATACACATGTATGTATATACACGCATACATACACACATACATGCATGCATGCATACATACATACAAACAAACAAAGAAGACAACAAACAAAGAAATAAACAAACAACCAAGCAAATGTATATATACATACATACATACATACATACATACATACATACATACATACATACATACATACATACATGCATGCATGCATGCATGCATGCATGCATGCATACATACATACATACATACATACATACATACATACATGCTTACAACATACATACACAAATATATACATACGTATAAAGTTGAATGCAAATGAGTATGCATGTGTGCATGCACATGTATATGAAATGTATATTGCACCACATGCATTCCCCTCTCTGGAAAAGAATTGGGACCTACCACACTCACGCCCATGGGATTATCGCTTCGCCCTGGGGATGTGCAATTTACATATGGCACGGCCCCATTGCTCATTCAAAAAATGAACTCAAAGCATCTCAGCCACACCAGGCCCTCACACCACCACAACCACCACCACCACCACCACCATCATCATCATCATCATCATCATCAGCATCATCATCATCAATATCATCATCATTCCCGCCAAAGAATACTACACGCGCAGACTCGTGCATCAAAAGCCATCCGTTGGCAAGAATACCTTGCGAACCCTGCCACTGGGGCCTTCGATGGAGCACCCCATGGGTGCAAGAACCGCGGGAAATGCGTGCCACAATGGAGCGGCGCCGCCATGCGAACCTTTTCCACTGGCGCCTTCGGTGGAGCCCCATGGGCCCACGAACCGCATGAGAAGGGTGTCATAATGGGGCGGCGCCGCCACGCGAACCCTGCCACCGGGGCCTTCGATGGAGGTCCCCATGGGGCCACGAGACGTGTGAGAGGTATGCAACATGGTGCGGCGCCGCCACGGGACCCCGCCACTGGGGCCTTCGGTGGAGTCCCCATTATGGAGCCACGAACCGCGTGAGGGTTGTACCCAAATGTGGCGGCGCCGCCATGCGAAACCTGCCACTGGGGCGTTACAGTGGAGCTCCCCCTGTAACCACGAACCGTGAGAGGGGTGCGCCAAAATGGCGCGGGCCTTGCCATGGCATTCGGTGGAGCTCCAAATCGGGCCACGAACCGTGCGAAGGGTGCGCCAACATAGGGCGGCGCCGCCATGCGAATCCTGCCACTGGGGCCTTCGGTGAAGTTCCTTATGGGACCGAAAACCGTGCGAGGGTGCCAAACTGAGGCGGCGCCGCCACGCGAACCCTGGGCGCTCTTTTTCAAAACGAGAAAGGACGAGGAACGAGGGGCGCTCTTTCAAAACGAGAACCCACAACCACAGGACGTTTGCAATATGACCGTGCACCAAAATTCCGTGCGCGCTTTTGCGCGTTCATACAAACACCATTAGCGCTTCAACATGCGACTAAGTGGACTTCTCGCGCGAGCGACTTTTCGCGCGCGCATCCCGAGATCGTTCCAATGCCCTCGCGCGTGTGGTGGGGGGCGGGAACGATCCCCACTTAATAACGCCACGCGGGCCACTCGCGCCCGTCGGCCGAAAGCGCATGTCGAGACCCTTCCGTTCACCACCAACACGTGGGCACCACCATTGTCATCGGCGCGATCAGCATTGGAAGTGTCATTGGCTTTGTCGTCGCCATCGTCATCGTCATCGTCTCCAGCATCACTATTATCATCATCAAGTCTGCCGCTGTCGTCGTCGCCATGAGACCGCGCCCGATAGAACCACCGACTCGCACGGAAGCGCATGCGCGGCAGCGAGGGCTGCGAGAAGCGCTGGGAAGCCCCCGTGTGGTCAGTGCCACAGCGGCCGCGTCGGTCGCGCCAGATTAGCTGGCCGCTCTGCGCAAACGAGACTACGCGCGATTGCGCGGCCGCAGCGATTCAGCGATGCGCCAGCCAACGCCGAACAATCATCACGATCGCCGCCGCATGGGTTTTGCAAACGAAGTTGCGGGCGGGTGGGCGGGACGGTTGCGCGAGCAGCGGACATGACAATTCACTGCGACCATGCACTACTGCACCAAAAGAATTGCAACACCTAGCTTGCACTCCATTCATGACACCACATACATTGAACGACATATCTTGCCCAACGTAGATCACACCACTTCGAATGTACGATATGCAGATATACAAGTTGCACCTGAATCATGTATGTGTGTGCATGCATATGTGTCTATGTCTACGCATGTGGAAATGTATTTACACGTATCCAATGCGCAAACACAAAGGATACACACGTACATAAATACACACATACATACACACTTTGCACCACCACTCCCACGCCCCCGAAATTATCGAACCACCTTGGGGTTGTGCACTTTACGTATGTTTGTGCCTCATTGCCCATCCATTCGCAACAAAAAATCCCAGCCACACCAAGCTCACCCCCACCCCGTCACCATCATCCTCGTCAAATCGACATACGTGCACACAGCCGCTTATCTAGGAAACTCTTTGGCAACAGTCCCGTACAAGCAAACAAAAAATGCACACGCGCGCGTCGTTGCGCGCGAAGGCCGAACTCAAAACCAAGCACCACAACAAATACGGTAGCGCTGTAAGGAAGTAAAACGGATTCCAAGGGAACGCGTACAACAAAACACTGTTTTGCAACGCGGCTGCTCAAAGAAATCTGCACGCGCTCTTGTGGGCTCGTTACAGCAAAATCCGTGCTTTCGCTACCACACATCCATCACATGCGACCAAGCGGGCCCGAACTCGTTCGAACGCCCTGGCGCGCGCGCTGAACGGGCACGATCCCCGCCAAGAAACACCATGCGGGCCACTCGCGCGCATCGGCCGCGCGCACGTCGAAATTCCTCCAGAACATGAACCGCCGAAATGTGGACACCACCATCGTCATCGGCAAGATCTGCATCGGCGCCGTCATCGGCCTTGCCGTCGTCATTGTCATCCTCGTCACCAGCATCGTTCGTATCATCATCGTGTCTGATATTCTCGGCGCCGCCATGATACAGCGCCCGCCTGAACCACCGATTCGCACTGAAGTGCCCGCACGTCTGTGCTGACTGCGAGACGTTCTGGGAAGTACCCAGCGGTCAGCGCCACCGCAGCCGCGTCGGTCGCAGCAGGCTAGCTGGCCGCTCTGCGCGCGAGACTGCACGCGCTACCGCGGCAGCAGCCAGCGACAAGCACTCATCGGCATCGCCGCCGGATGGGTTTTGCAAACCAAGTTGCGGATGGGTGGTGTGCGAGCAGTGGAGTTCACCACTGCACCAAAAAAAAGATGCTAGAACACACCGTTTGGAGTCTACTCTGGCTAACATTGTTGTTAATTTGTCTTGTGGTTTTCAAACCGGTGTCGGCGTTTCAAAACTCCTGCAGCGTTGGCCTCATTTCAGGATCGGCGCTTTGCTCATATTTGCCCTCGTCGTTCAGAATGGCGCTCTCGCCATAGCCTGGACAATTTTGCTGGATCCAAACATTTGCTCGTCAATGTCGCCCCCTTCATTTCCTCTTCCCCGCCTTACCCCGATCACCCTCCCGCTGCTGCTGTTCGACATCGTCCTCCTCCTGATCCTCCTTTTCCTTTTCCTCCTCCTCCTCCTCCTCCTCCTCCTCCTCCTCCAACTCCACCTCTTCCTCCTCCTACTAGTCCTCATCCTCCTGATCCTCCTCCTCCTCATCATCCATCCTTCTTTCTTATACATGACTCCTCCCTGTCGCACCCCGAGACGGGTCGGTAGAGCAGGCCAGGCGTTTCGCCTGAAACTTCCTCGCTATGTCTGATCCTGAAGTTTGAAACTCGCAAGGGCTTCCCGGATGTAGGGCGGGTCGTTTTCAACATGTGGCTCTCGCCAGACCGCCACGCACGGTCACTTGTGCGCAAGAAGTTTCATGGAGGGCGGGCCGTTTTCAAAATGTGGCTATCGCCCTAGCGCCACCCACACTCACCTTAAAAATGTGCAAGAAATTCACGAATGGAGGGCGGGCCGTTTTCAAAATGGGATTCTCGCCTCAGCGCCGCGCACAGTCGCCTTAACAGTTCATAACAGTTTCAAGTATTCCGATGGTTGTCGTCCCAGAAAAGGACTTCTCGTAAGATGTTGGATCGCCAGGTCGCAACAGTAGTTTTGATTCGATTGGTAAAAGGCATGGTGCTTTGGAACGGTTGCAAATTTTGAAACGACTGTCTTCCAGCGGGATTCTTCCCGCAGTGGAAATAACTCCCTATAGGAGCCTATAATGACGAAAGTTTGAGGGAGGGTTTGTCGCACCATCGTTGACGAGTTTGTGATGTACACTGATCCTCATCCTCCTCCTCATCCTCATCCTCCTTGTCCTCCTCCTCCTGCTCCTCCTCCTCCTCCTGTTCCTACTCCTCATTTTCCTCCTGCTCATCCTCCTGCACGTCCGACACCTCCTTCTCCTCCTCCTCCGCCCATGTAAACAGCTCCCCAGGTCCACTATAACGACTGTCGGCGGATAGACAAAAATCAGCGCAATGTGAAGAGTCAGATATCATATATGATGCGAGTGTGCCTAGCTTGCCCTCTCCCCCATCTCCTCTCCTGCCTCCCTCCCTCTCTTGCTTTCTGTCCCCCTCCCATCCCTCATACCATCCCCCTCCCCTCTCTTCTCGACCCCTCCCCTCCCTCCATCATTCCTCCCCCTCATCCCACCCCATCCAATACCCTCCCCTCCACCCCTTCCCTATGTACCCTGCGGCCTTCGGGGTGAAGGGAAGGGGCGGTTCAAGCGGACCTCCACTTATTGTGATGGGACATGCGAGTGCGGGAAGTCTTTAGTGGTCGCTCGCTCCAAAGGACAGGCCAGCACGGACCTCCCGCCACCGAACTTGCAAGCACGGGCCCGTCACGAGCGAGCCCGCAGCCTCCCCCATGCGACCCGAGCAGAGGAGGGCGGGCGCCGCTTTACGGCTCCCTGCTGGGCGGGGTCGCTCGTGCTGTTCAGGTTGACGCACACGTCCTGGTGCGCCCCGGGCCCGAGCGTGCCAGCGCTCGGCCGCACCGCGTAGGCCTTCAGCACCGTCGTCTTGACCTTGAAGGCCACGTGGGCGCCGCTGGTGTTCGTGAGCCTCAGGACCCTGCTGGTCGTCGCCTTGGGGAGGAAGGAGCGGCACAGACATGGAGGCTTTCGGAGGTCCGCGCGGATTTGTCGGAGCAGCCGCGGGGGCTGCTGGCGGCGCCGCGACTCCAAAACTCCGGTGCGGACCTCCGAAAAGCCCACGCTCGTGCCGCCCTCCGCTGCGAGCCTTGGAGAAGCGCAGCCTGTCTCCAGGCTCCAGCCGGAGCGACGTCATGGGCGCCATCCCCCAGGCGAGGCCTCGCGCGCCGCGGGCCCCCTGCGGAGAGGCCCCCGAGGGGTGCCCGCGTCCCGGAGCAACCAGGGCTCACAGGAGGACCGCTGGCCTGGGCCAAAAGAGCTGCGGGGGAGGGGGCGGCTCGCGGGGACGGAGGAAGAAGGAGGGGGAGGAGGAGAAGGGAGGAGGAGGAGGAGGAGGAGGAGGAGGAGGAGGAGGAGGAGCAGGAGGAGGACCAGGAGGACGAGGAGGACGAGGAGGACGAGGAGGAGGGGGAGGAGGTGGGAGAGGAGGAGGAGGAGGAGGAGGAGGAGGAGGAGGAGAGGAGGAGGAGGAGGAGAGGAGGAGGAGGAGGGGGAGGAAGAGGAGGAGGAGGAGGAGGAGGAGGAGAAGGGAGGGGAGGAGGAGAAGGAGGGAGGCGACACCAGAGAGGAAAGCCCTCGCCCGCGCACGCTCAACCTCGGGCGCCCAGCCCCCGCTCTCTCTCGGCCCGGGCGGCCCCCGCGGGAGCAGAGTGCACGGCCCAGCGGGGGTCACGGGTGGACTACAGGGAGGAATAGCCTGGCCGTGGCCCGAGCATTTTGGCCACAGCGTACCCACGACGTGTCCCCATCGACCCGAACCGACCATTGAGGCGGTGGGACCTCTTCCCCCTCGTCGATTCGGTTCGGCCACGACATCGGACATCGGAGTCGTGGACGCTGCCCACGCCATAGAAAGGAGTCGGTGCACACTGCGAACACGTCGTGACGAGAATTACGATAACTGTAGGCATGTGGTCTGGGGTCAGGACGGCGAGCCCTCCGAAACCACTACAACCCACCCACTTCCTTCGTCCTCTTCCCCCTCCCCATTCTCTCCCTCCATCCGCGGCACGGCGGACCAGGGGGGATGTTCGGACAGGCGGCCATCGGCACAATCGCGGCCTGGATCCCAACCCCGGAAAAAAGGAGGAGCAAGAGGAACAGGAGGAACAGGAGGAGGAGGTTGGTTTAGAAAAGTTGTTGGGAAGAGGGGGTAGTTGGAGGCTGTTCGTCGCCCCGTTCGTGCTCGAGGAGGAGGACCACGGGCGGGAGCAGGAGTTCCATCGCTCAGAGTCTGGCCAACGTACCGAAAAACAGGAAGACGATGAAGCGCCAGCCCAAGATGCGTTTTCCGCCCGCAGGCCTGCAGCGCCACGCGCGGAAAGCTTCATGCAGAGCCGCCCGCAATGATCCTTCGGATTACTGACCCTGTGCCGCGCTCACGCGGGGCCCGTAAAAAAAAACAGAGAACGCCGTCGCATCCACATACACTTCGACCTCACGTAAGCACAACCAAGCTGGAAAATGAAATTGGGCAAAGTAAGCATGCCTGAACGCTTCAGCGTCCGCACTGTCATAAACGGTTTGCGAACGTTGGCAGATGATGGAGCCATTGACTCTGATTCACGAAGCAACCACCGCAGACCGATTGAAGAAATGAGTCACGACTTCCAGCCGTATTCAACCGATGTTCTAAGTACCGTCACAGATGGCTTCTGCCAGTTGGACGCATATTCCGATTCCGATTCGACACGTAACACCAACAACTACCAAGATTCCCCAACCAGTGTCTGCAATTCAGAATTGTATTTGTCATAAGGAAGAAACAAGTCGGTCCGTCGAGGTTTCGCCGCGTCCCCACCCGTTGTCGCCCCATTGCCGCCTACTTGGGGGGCCCATCGAGGTTTCGCCGTTGCCGCCTCGTTGCCGCCCGCCTCGTTGCCATCCACTCGGAATTCGTCGACGTTACGCCACGTTTCCGCCCGTTGACACCCCGTTGCCGCCCACATGGGGCGTCCGTCGAGATTTTGCCGCGTCGCCGCCCACTGCCGTTGTCGCCCATTGTGGGGGCCACTCGCCGCGTTGCCGCAGCGTCGCCGCCTTGTTGCCGTCGAGTTGCCGTACAGTTGCCGCCCACTTGGAGGGTCCGTCGAAGTCTCGCCCCGCTGCCGCCCACTTCGGAAGTCGTGCGAGGCTTCGCCTCGTCACCGACCGATGCCGCCTCTGCGTTGCAAATTCTGGGGGTCGTCGAAGTCTCGCGACGTGGCCGCCCGTTATCACCGCGTTGCCGCCCATGGTTGGGGCGTCCGTCGACGTTTCGACGATTCGCCGCCGCCCCTGCAATTAGACAGACGCAAGACGCCGCGCGCGATGGGAAGCAGAAGCTTCGCGGCGAGCGAAAGCATTCGCAAGGGCGGCAGCAGCCGACCGATCCGTAGGTCGCTCGCCAGCGAGAACGTCGACATCGCGGGCACCATCTTGCCGAGACGGGCACGACACCCGCCGCAAATGGGCACCTCATGCGCGGCGTGGGCCACGAGCTCGTCACCCAAATATTTTTAGCGAAATAAAACAATGACCCTCTGCGTGGCGAAAGCTCTGCAAAGACCGAACGCGTCTGTCACCGCCAGATGTGACTCAGACAGGTTCAAGATGTGTTGGTGCTGGAGGATGCACGTCGGGATGGCACTGCACGTCAGTGCTCGACGAGCGAAGATCCAAGAAGTTGTCGCGATGCGAAGTTGCGCGAAAACGCCTGCGGGGTTCGCCGCCAACCATTGCGCGGGCCGCAAGGCAGGGCCGCAAGGCGGGACGAGCTCGCCACCCAAGACCGACACCAGGCGGAAACACCCCTCGTGCAAGAGCCACTGATTCCCACCGGCTCCAGATCACGAACTGCCGACGCCTCCAGCTCTCACGGGGACGCCTCCCCCCCGAACCTCGCTGTCGGGCCCCGCGCACTCGATCCGCAACCTAGCATGGCGCCACACTGGATCGAGCAGCTGCTGCCTGCTGCCCGCCCCCCCCCCCTTCCTCGCCGCCCACCCCCCGCCCCCCCCCGCCCCCGCCGCTGCGGCCGCGGCTGCAGCCGCGGCTGGGAAAGGCAAAACCACCGCGAAAAATTCTCGATAGCCCCCCCCCAGCCGCGGCCGCGGCTGCAGTCACAACCGCGGCCGCGGCCGCAGCTGGGAAAGGAAGACCACCGCGAAAAAAAACGCTATATTTCCCGACTCCCAGTCGCGGCCGCAGCCACGGCCGCAGCCGCAGCCACGGCCGCAGCTAGGGGAGAGAAACGACCGCAAAAAATTCACACAGAAACAGTTCGCGCGGCGCTGCTCGAAACACACAGAAAAAGTTCTCTCAAGCGTGAAGAAAAAAGCTCAGACGTTTTGTCGTCCAACGTCGGTTCCCTGAAAAGTTTTGATAATAACATTGCACCTACGGACCTGAGAATTGAACTGGCAGACGCGGCATAACCCACTACACATGAGAAAAATATGGCTTCTCAAAATGAATTGTCAAATGTCTGTCAATTCTCGGCAAAACCGACCCCAAGTCACCACATTGTCTCTTAAGGTCGGATCTGCCAACTAGCTCCACCCTGCGCCCGAAATCCTCTTATTATGTCCAAAGAATTAGCAGAGAACGAATAGTTGTTCAGCCCGAGCGCTGATAGCACATGATCTCAGGCGTCTAGATACATTGCACGATGCCCCTGATGCTCTGTAGCTCATCTGCAGCACGAGTAAAACCAACAAAAGCACTATAGTTTCCAAGAGCGTAGCACAATACGAATCAGTGTTCAGCCCTAGCGCTAATAGCAGACTGAGTGTGGGTGTCGAGATATTTTCAAATAGCGCGCGTGATCAGTATCTTCCCATAGCAATGCCTAAGAGCTCTCAAGCTCATCTGCACCTCGAAGTCAAACCAGGAGCGAATTCCATCACCAGGAAAAAAAACATACTATGACAAGTTGTGTGGTGTCTGCGCTCATAACAGACCCAAGCCAAGCGTCTAGATACTTCAGACGATCGTGCCTTATGGTTTCCTTCCTATTGCTGTGCGGAAGAGATCTCAAGCTCATCTGCAGCTCGAGTTAAGTGAAAAGAAACACCATCAGTTCGAAAAACAATCGGTCGCATACGAATTGTGTTACGGACCTAGCTCGAGTAGCAGACTGTGTTCATAGCTCTAGATGCTTCAGCCGAACGCCCCTAATGATACTGGATCGGTTCATGTACGTACCAGCATTGTAGCTCTTCTAAATCTTGAATTAAGTACAGAAAACCGACAGCACTCGTCAAGATGACTCGAACCATACGAATAGTTTCGCGGACCTAGCTCGAGTAGCAGACCGAGTTCAGACTGCTCGATGCAACAGACGAACGCGCCTGATGATAGAGGATCGATTTATGTGCGCATCAGCTCTGTAGCTCTTCTAAATCTTGAGTTAACTACAGAAAACCGACAGCACTTGTGAAAATGACTCGAATAATACGAATAGTTTTGCAGACCTAGCTCGAGTAGCAGACCGAGTTCAGACCTCTGGATGCAACAGACGAACGCGCCTGATGACTCTGGATCGTTTTCTGTAAGCATCAGCTCTGTAGCTCTCCTAAATCTCGAGTTTAAGTACAGAAAACCGTCAACACGTGTCAAGATGGCTCGGAAGACAGTCGGTTCCTGCAAGTCTTTTGATAGAAACACTGCAGTTACCGATCTGAGAATTGGACTGGCAGACGCCGCATAACTCACTACACGTGAGAAAATATGCATGCTCAAAATGAATGGTCAAATATCTTTTAAATCTCAGCAAAACCGACCCCAAGTCACCACATTGTCTCTTAAGGTCGGGTCTGCCAACTAGCTCCACCTGCGCCCGAATTAGACTTAGCTCATCTTGCCGAGGCTCTGCGAGGTATGAGGTATTTGTAAGCTTCCAAAGCTCGGATAGCAGAGCGAGAGAAGATAGGTCCGGGGAGCTTCGCGAGGCCTCTGGAGCATGTTCTACGGGAACGCATTGGCGGAGCGCCCCCGAAACACGCTGCTGGTTCAAGCAACCCGCTGCGACGATTCTGAACCGCCGTGGAGGAGCTGCTGGCAGGCACCACCACCGTCCAGCTTCTAATCTAAAACCTTATAGCTTTCAAAGCTCTCCGGGAACTTGATAGCGTCCAAAAACCAGGATAGCACTGGGATCCGGCGGTAAACCGTCAACCAGGTAAACGCCGGGAGCCTCGTAGAGCTCTTTTCTCGCGCGGCGCTGCTCGAAACACGGGAAAAAGCTTTCTCAAGCGCGAAGAAAAAAGCTCGAAACATAC